AGTGATTGCCAATCATTACATTACTACGTTTTGCTCACAAATCGACGTCATTTCCTTCTCTAATGCGCTCATTCTTATTATTGGGTTCCTCTGGATGATGGAAATAAAATTATAATTGTTGACTACTTTATTCAGGGATCAGCCAAAAATTTCCGGTCTTTCGATTTGACAGGAATCTCTCTGACAACCACCAAAGGAGATGCTATCTAGGATGAGATCATTAATAACTATCCTAATATCTTCTATCTTGAACTAAATATACCGAGCTCTACTAGCGACCACTTCCTATATGTGTATAACGATTAGACTTTACTCGCGATGGACAAACCCCACTTTCATTCACTTAAAACGAATAAACAGAAAAATCTGGAACCTTTCAGCCGACAGACTCTTTATCCGAAAGGAATATTCTTTCCTGATTTTAGTGTGGCTTACCGCTCAAAAATCTTCTTGTTCTGTTGAACATTATACTCAAACTTCTAACGGGATTTTCAATTTTTGCGGTCCTATAGAAACAATGATTTTACCTCACACTGATAGAATATGCTCTCTGCTGCTAAAAGCTCTCAGAAGACATGAAGATAAACCGTTCAATATGCACGAATTAACCATTGTCAAACTGCTTTCCTCGCAAATCAAGGCAGAGATCAAAAGAATGAATACTTCTTCCACAAGGCCAACTCTGAGGATTGGAAATAGACGGTGGAAGTTTTAACAGATCAGATTGCTGTACGGACAGAAAAGACGGTCACCAAACAAAAATATTGACGTCGCTGGCCTGAATACTGCATACATTTATCCTCCAAACAATCTCCTATCTCGATACCAAACAGATTACTATCTACCGTAGACCCTATCACCCATCGCGTGGTCTCAAAACTACGAAAGTACAGTAGACCCAGATAGTTTACCATCGTCTATGATCAACCAGAACGTTGATTCACTCACAGAGATGTTAACGCCCATTATTATTAAATCTATATACACATGTTCAGTCCCTTATCCTTGGATACGGTTCAACATTGTTCTCATTTCCAAGTCATCTTCATTCAGAATTTTATCTAAAAGCTTTTGTTCCATTGGCATCACTTCTTCTGAACTGGCTTAGTGCGCTGTTCCACCTGCTTGCAGTATGGTATAAATGCTCCCAATAACACACACTTCAACTAAATATATGAAATTTGAACTCTGTCTCTTCACTGATGCTTTCTGTTTATAAACATTAAGACGGTACAAAAACATTCGTTCTCTATTTTTTGCTTGATTATTCATCCGCTTTGGATTCCGTTCCTTAAACTCTTTCCCTTCGAAAGTTACACTCATTCGGTTGCTCCTTCACCTTATTGTTGTAGTTGAGAAACTATTGTACGGGTGATATTTAATGCAGGAAATAAAACGATACTGTGTCAAAACCGTTAGTAAACAATTTGGGAGTTCTTCTTCTTCAGCTCCATGACATTTTCAAAATACATCGGTAACTTACCATTTAATCCGACAATAGTAGAGTAGGCTAATAGCTGCCCAGGTTGGAATTTACTCGGGTAAATCAGCTGAACTGACACGTGGTGTAAAATCTGCAGCTGACATTTGGGAGAATAAAGTCACACACATTGGGTCACATTGTTCTAGCACCTAATCACGTGATTAAACGGTCAATACTAAGCAGTGGATCACGTTAAGTGAAACTAATTACTCAGAGATGACTTCCTCATTTTCTGAAACCACAGTAACATACCCAGCTAAAAGAAGAACTAACGATGCTTTCATAATAGGACAGATTTGGCATAAAGAGCGTTCCTTGTAAACAAAATAAAAAACGGTCTGAAGTGATCACCGACCATTTTCAGTTTGCCGCAGCACACCGCGGTGTGCATGTTCACCTGGCATTCAGTCGGATTTCGGTATAAACCCTATAGGAATATTAGGATGAAGAACCTCTAATTCTTTAGACCCCCAAACGTTTAATAAAATAGGATATACTGTTACTGAATTTAGTAATGCACCACTGCAAAAAACCCCGACAAAATAATAAAATTTTCGCGGGTCATTTCACAATTGGGGAGAAAACAATAAATGTTATACTTGGAGACCCGAATACCGCAAGAGATTGAAAAGTATTTTTTTTTAATATTTAAGATATGTTCAGGAAACAGTGCCGACAAACTCATCATTGATAGATAATTTTCCTGTACAACTCACCGGTATACAATCCAGAAGTTACTATCAAATGCAGGCTTCCGTCTTGTGTAAAACCCACGTTGANGTTGATGAGTTGTCAGACTTTACCATTTCACAACAGATGGATGGACTTGGTAATTCATTCAATCGCATATTCCAATTCGTAATGCATAACCAACATGAGTTGTCGCATGTGTGCTTTTATAGTCTTCGCATCCCAAGACAACCGTGGTTTACNTACACTATTAGATTCCCAGCTGACCATTTAATTTTGGTTTAATCCACCGGTCGTATACCTTGTAAGTACACAGGGTAAAATCCTCCCGTCACCATTTTATAATATCTGTTGCATCCATGAGATGCAAAGTTTAATGAGCAACTGTAGCAGAACAAATAAAAACAATTAAACAGTCGAGATTTGGATTGCTATATTCGAGTACAGAAAGCAGATTCAGCCAAAAGAATGAAACCACAAATTTGCAATCACAGGTTAATCAACGAGGCAGAATGCTGATCGGATTCATAAAACATCTGCAATGAAAGTAAATTCGAAAGAATCACCGCAAGCTGATGTTCAGTTAAACAATATTTTCAAAGAATGTCATTATGACTGGAATAGATAAAAAAACAATAAACAACAGAATCATTCATAACCTTAAGTTACCGTAATAGATCCCAATTTCCATGAGATAATTTTAAAGGAATTTTGTTCCTTACAAACGAAAGGAACACACTGCCCCATAATGAATTATTTGGAAATCAACCGCGGGTTTCCACACGATGATTTTTACCACTGATAGTGTCGTAGATTTTTGGGGTCAAAAGCCATCACGTTTATCCAATCAAACTCTTATCATACTCAGGCGGAATACGAACTTGATAATGCTATTACTACTAGAGATTATGTCGAATTCCTGCACTGTTTAAATTGTTGGATAGATTTCGTATAACAGAACAAACTGATCGCTTACAGCACCTTACCTGCAGATCGAACGGAACGTGCTCACTACGTGCAATGCTTTTCCGTCTCTCCATCATACGTATTGTTCCTTGAAGATAAACTCGACTTCAAGGTGATTGAGGACGAGTAACATATCTAAGTTGAAGTATTCATCACTATAATAAAGTACCGGAGAAACTTATAACCAAAGAGAAACGCGTGTCATAAGTACGGTTGTCTAAAGACTGTGATTTTCTCATCCTCCAGTCTGCACCGACTTCAACGAAGACACTCATTAACACTGAAGTGATAAAAGCATTAAATATGCTTCGCTCATTAATCTAAAATAATGATTGAAAACCCCCAGATTTCAGATTTCGGTTTACTGAACATCACGTGTCAGACAGCAACTGAGCCGGAATTTCAGTTTTACCGATCCAAACAGCAAACTTTCATCTGGTTAAATGAGTATCAGAAGAATAGAAAGAGACAATGCAAGTCGAATAAGCAGCAAATACACTAGAAACGAATGTGTATCATATTCCAAAAGCCGTGATAGCTTATATCTCGAAATAATGGAGCACGAATGGATAATCATGTCGTGAAAAAGAAGATGGCACATGAAGTATCGTTGACGTCAGGCATCAGAGACGATGAAAGGTACGCACGTACCTTTCATCGTGGTAGTCAGAGTTCGAAAGCACATCAAAATGGTACTTATCGCTGGGGTATATCTAAAACTAAACCGGCAAACGTTAGGTATTACTATAGATTACTACAACTGACATCTTCAGAAGAACAAATAATTAGTTTACACAATCCTACCTACCGATGATCGGTTGAAGAGCTAAGTGATTATTATAATAATATAAGCCATAAAAATATGATTAATTCCTTAACAGTGCAGTTCCCTGCATGGCATACCGTTGGACGGAAAGTTGAGTTGTTGATTTTTCCATGATTCATGTAGTGACATTAGAATTCCAAACGTACTCAAGAGTTAATAAAATACTATTGGAGGAAGGAAATAAGGATTCCACTATTCGATTATAAACTCACGTCTAGCGTGCTAAGATTCACCGGCAATAGTGACACGTAGGTGATAGAGCCGCTTCACGTTTACGAACGGGCGCGGTTTTTTGTGCCCGTGCAAGTGTGCACACACGAACAGTACAATTATCGTCGTCGTCGTCCTCTCAAGGTCTCCGACCCCTCATGGGGTTTCATTCCGGGTTTTATCAAAGACTGGTTTCGGCCAAACACGCACACAGCACAACAACAATGGTAACCCAGATTTAGCCATCACGGACCCCTTGTGTGGGTGCATGTGTGATCGTGGCACTCGCACCCAAGCACGCAACTGTTCAAAAGTCATGCCGTGCTAATATGTCCTATATTATCATGCACCCAACTGTGCATATGGATGTGGGTGTGTTACATGACACATCGATGCGACAATTCTCTTGAAGACCCGTGGCTGTTTGACGTGGATATACGGGACGAGTGCACGTACGTGAGTATGGATGGAAGTCTAGACAAACGGCTAACTTCATTCGGGAAACCCATGCACCAACAATACCACTACTCCTACTCCGACTACAGTACTACGACCAAAATCGCAGTCACCATCCCCCGCGATCGAAACCAACAAATTCGCGTACCCCCAATGGCAGATATGAACACGAAATTTGTCTGCCCTTGGCAGCTCGACTGGGCCAGCCGACCATATTGCGTGCGTGCAGCCGACTGATTTGTGTTCGATTATCGGAACGGTATATAAATCTGTCTGAATCACCACTTCACACAAACCGCGATCTCGCTCTCTCCCTCTCTCGTAATCTTGTGCTGTCGTGTGTCGTTGGCCTTGCTGCGAATTACTACAATGACTGTTCTTACTCAAGCCCAAGTGGACTCAATTCTGGCCGATTTGCATTCACACATTGACACAACCGAACATGTGACCGAGATGGGAGTTTCCATCTACAAAGCGTGAGTTTTGCTTGAAGCCTCACTTCCATCACATAACTCTTGATTACCACTTTTCGTGTTATGACTTTATTCCTATGTTCGTTCTGTCCATAGATTGTTCGCTGCACACCCGGAATACATCAGCCACTTCAGCAAGCTTCAAGGATTAACTAAGGACAATGTGGCTTCATCGGAAGGAATCAAATATTACGGTCGAACTTTGGGTGAGGAGTTGGTTCATCTGATCAAGGCAGCGCACGATCACGCTGCTCTGGAAGCCCGAATCGTCCAGAACGGAAAAGATCACACCCAACGAAAAGTGACTAAAGAGCAATTCACGGTACGTTTCGTTGATCTGTTAACCGATGCGAATATGATCCTATTGACCGTCGGGTCGTTTAATCTCACCCCATAATGCATCTCTCCCTCCTTCCATCTATCACATTCCACTCTACCGTGACCTGACGTCTCCGATCGATACAATCCGTCTCCCGACACAAATGAACACTTTATGGGAACTTGTGCGGTCATGTCACGTTCCCTGTGTGTGGTGTTCACTGACTGTTATTCAACCACCAGGGTGCGGCGCCGATTTTCATCAAATTCTTCCAAGGACTCCTGAAGAAACCGGAGGATCAGGCTGCAATTGAGAAATTGTTCAACCACGTGATGCCTGCAATTGCGGAGAAAATGTAAATGGATCTGGTTTAACAGAACACAGATAATTTTATTAACCATGTCGATTCCCGGTTCACTTTAGTGCCATAAGTTCCAATTTCCGATAAGTGCATCCTCTGTCATTATTTTATTAACTAATAAATAATTTTATTCTGTTGCTGGTTCTTATTATATTTGGGAACCTCGAACCTTGAAAGCAATACACTTTGCGTTTATTGTGCCGAGTGAAGCGAGTTTGAACGTTTGTCACTCTCTCTCCAATTTGAATCTTGGATCCTACAAACCTATGGTTGCAGGTAGCTGCACTGACGGTGGTCTGACTTACGGATCTGCTCCGTCGCAGCCTTTTGGCGATGCTCTGAGACAACCGCAAGACGACTGTGTTCACTAATCCGTCACCGGTGGTGACAGCTAAGTGTGAAGTAAGAAAATTTTACATCCCCTTAACTTAGGGATCACCAACTAGGTCCTTTTGTTCTTCCCGATTATAGGTGAACGCGTTTTTACTTCCTTGTTATGCCATCTCAAATTGGATGAATAACTCTATACTAACTGCGGTTTTTTCGATGTCTGTAACCAAATTCGTAATAATCGTTGGTTCATTTGATGCATTACAATCATTCATAAAAGCTTGAATCCTCCACTGAAGAAAAACCATGCTGACTGCTACCACGGGGACCCTTGGAGACATGGAACCAATCACGTCAGGTTTGAATGCACTTCCTCTTATAACTTCCTCAAATAACTTCTTTGGAACTATAAGACACAATCAATACAACCGCAAATTTCGATGTCCGAACATTATTTCATCAAATATACCAATTCGTGACTTGTGCGTTTCCAGGATAACAAATGCCTGTGAATACAGTCAAAGGATCATTGGATTGCCATTTGGGATTCGGAGACGGCTAGCCCTGGCGAAATTACGGACGGAAGAAATTCTCTCGATCATTGACACTTTAAAGTCTGAAATCCCAATGAAAATGAAGATTTGTATTTGTTCATATGATAAATTTCATAATTTAAAGAGCCAACGGAACGTGAACTGAAAAAGTTGAGTTGCATTGAACAGCTATTTCGACTTGGTTTCCAATCGAGTCAGAAATCTGAAGGCTAGTGATGAGATGCACAAAGTGCGATGTGTGCAATAAGCTCGCAAAGATGGGTTGTGCTACGTCGCGTGCAAAGAAAATAAAGAACAGTCTGATAAAGTGCCTAGTCCAGTTCAGTTTAGTTTGGACAAACATTATTGGTGCACCTTCTTTCGGCGGTTTTTGTTGCTGCCGATTATTTGGATGAAGAAGAGGAGAAAAACAGGAACTCTAAAATAGAGTCGAACAGAAAATGGAGAATTTCAGTGGTCTAAGGTTGCAAAGAAATTGAGTAGATGCGCTAACGCTATTGTTTACGACACTCAACCATATCACTCATTGTCTCTAATCATTGGTTACAATCGTCCCGAGGACCCCAGCCAGGGAATCTAGTGGGCCAAGCGGGCAGTGTGATTGCTCAATAGTGATGAGTTTCCAGGTATGATTACCATTTAGATTGATGGATTCGCACCGTTAATGTGACTCAGTCAGGTTGAAACAACTGCAGTGTGCTTTCTAGCTTTTCAGTTCCTGTTTCATTTGCTCCTCACACGGCGAAATTCACCATATGTACAAATCAAATTCCCCTTTCTCTCATATATTTTATTGAGCTTTAGTAAGGTAACACATGCCTCCAGCCTGAAAAATGACCACCACTGCATTACCGGCAAAAAGTGAATAAAACGGGAAAATTTTCCATGCGAAAATGTGCATCACCTGTCTATTTTACAATAAAGCGTTCTGAAAGAACGTTCCTCTTGTCATTCAGCTTGTGATCGAGATGGGGTATCCAGCGTTTCTCTTCTGGCAAATATTCTAAATAAAGTTTTTCTTATAAGAACATTTAACTGAAATTGGGAAGCACGGTTGATTATCTTAAGGCCACACATCAGCAGCTTGGAGTTAAGCCCCAGCGGACTATCGTTTTTCCAATTTATCGTACTCCTATCATTGTGAAAAATAGTCTCTGACCTAGCAAAAAGAGCAAAGAGATGAGTAAACGGTTACTCGTTGTTAATTAGATCGGACGTGGCACAGAGTAAAAAGCTGAGGAATAATCAAGAAAAGTCACGGTGCACATATTTGGTTTTATCGTTTTAAAACTTGCATAGGCATGAACTAGAGACGTAACTGCATCCAGTATAGAGCGATTTTCCTTATGAAAACTGATGAACATATTCGTGAGTGGTGAAAACAATGAAAACAATGTGAAAATGGGAAGGCAAATTTCAAAAAACATGGTTTGAAAGTCTTTGTGGAAAGTTAAAATGGGCAACTGAGGTCCCTTAAGAGATAAACAGCCATTAACTACATAAAGAGACGTTTATAATAAACTAATATTGTCCTGGGGAAGTGTGCGAATTGTAGTACAAAACCAATGCGCCCTGAAGTACATCTTATCCAATTTTTATCAAAGTAGCGGGTCTTTACAGCATATTCTTGCATAATTTATATTTTTATAACTTGTTTGAGCTCAAACGCTTAAAGTTTAGTAAAAAATTACCATTTTCAGCGAGGGGGAATTGGTCAATCAATGGACTGTCATACAACACATAGTGGGAAAATTCGGGAGACCGTGGTAGTCGGATTTGAACACCCGTCCCCCAGTGTGACAACTTAGTGACATTATCATCGAACCATCATCGCGCCTCTGCTAACCATTCCAGAAAATTCACTGGGAAACGTTTATCAGGTTCATGAGTCCGGGTAGGTACACATCAGGGATCGTAGTAAAAATCGAACTCACTCGGTCATAGATCAATGTGATATCATGTGTCTATGTTCACCAAAATTTCAAGTCACTTTCGGCCTTGTGGGTAAAGTCAAAGTTTTTTATGGGAATTTATAACAAACTGATAATTTTCCTGTTCCCGCAGGATATTTACACAACTGCATCGTCCCTCGGCAAAAAATTATAAGAATTCTCATATAAAACAAGGAGTGGCGAACAAGCTCGTTTTCAGTGATTCGTAGTCGTGACAAATACATCACAATACACAATACACAATCACAATACATCACAAACGAGCTTGTCCGCCACTCCTTGTTCTATTTGAAAATGTGCTCTGTGGGACTGTTCAGACAATTCTCATATAGTTCCGGGTGGAACACATAACACATAATCTGGTCTTTAGCTAACTTGCGTCTTGTATTGTATTGTAATGTGAGAAATGCCAGGGTTTCATCAACTTTTGGCTTAAAAGATTCAATAGTTGGAGCAAAAATGACATGAGATAGGTGTTCGCATTATTGTACACTCTGATTACAAAAGTTGAGATGAACATTCAAGTCGACATTTTGGAATTAATGACTTGAAACAAAGTCACCTAAGGTATATGTTGGGTGACAACGTGAGCATCGGACGACATGGATGGTTTGCTTCTGAAGTATTTGATGCATTAAAGTCCAGTCTCCTCCAATGCGGCGATACTGAGTAGAATATACTCCCAATGATCGTAACCTCTACTCGCAAATATGAGGCAGTTTACGCTCTGGATCATCTGAGTGGTAATCCTTTGTGGACGCTCCAGCATGTTACGATCACATTGTAACCATTGACTCGAAGCCTGGATGGTGTGCTCTATGAACGGTCGAGTGTACACTGATAGCAAACATGGGAACAGTGCTGATTCAGACAGACAAAAGTCTCGCCTAAGTAAACCGACATTTTTCACTGCAGTGGACGAAGCCCTGGCGCAATTGATCGAGCGGCTTAATTCCACTTGAATAATTATATCTAAATCGATCTCACTTGATGTATGTGGCAGATGCTGAGTTCTGAGGAAATACAAGAATCTATTTCTGTGGCGGAGGGATAAGACTTTGCATTTAGAAACATTGGATTCAATTTCATTCTCCTTAGACCACAGCGATAAGTGTTTCTTGAAGTGGAAACGAGTCATTGGATTCTCTTGCTGTATTCCATATTTTGGCAGCCTGCAAACAGTATGCTTTTTGCCCCAGCACATTCGTTAGATTATTTATGAATGCGAGGTTAAGTCTGGGATGAAATAATGATACTTGTGGAACACAGCGGGTAATACTGACATAACTGGATGGGGAATCAGAAGACTGAACAGATAAGGTCCCTCGTCGGAGAAATGCACTAATCAAATCAAGCGCGGAACATCGAATGCCGCAATCTTAGAATTTATTTAACCAAATTTGGTGGATTACTCGATCAATGTCCAATATCAATATCCCTTGTTCTGGTCTATTTACCTCGAACAGGAAGCAAGTTGATGGATCAGGATTGCTTTTACCTGTATCTATGTTGAGCGGTTGAAGGTACGTTGTATATGGTTGTACGTCGTTGTTGTATCTTCCTAAGTATTGCATCAGATAATCTGTCACAACTAACTCCGTGACTCTCGATAACACTAGCAGTGGGATTACCCGTCAATAGTTAGCGGGGTCGCTACGGCAACTATGTTCGTATGTGAATGAAACAACTCCATGTTTTCATGATTTTTGGAGTGTTGTTTGATCGAACATCCATTGAGATAGAATGGTTAGTGGCTATAAAATGTGATCTGCCAAAAATATATGGCATTTGGGATTTATATTGTTGTCACCTACGGTTGCATTGTTTTGCAAAACCACTGGTTTTGCTTTGACGTTTACAGTAGCAAATGCTGTGTTGGTCAGCGAAGAGTATCGAATATGATGCAACCGGCGAGGGAACTCTAGACCTTCTAGATATGATTAAGTAATAACTTCGAAATACTGAGTTAGCAGTACTTCAGCTGCTTTCGGTGGCATATATAATAAACTGTAGGCGAATTTACATACTGTGCTTAAATAACGTAACGGACAACCACCCATTCTAAGGAATTTCACGAAATCTGATACATATTCGAACATATCGTTTACATCTCAGCCGGTGATTGTGAAAATTGAAAATTCTTCACATACACGCACGCACATTGAAAACTAATGGTGTTTAAAATTTCGCTAACTCCAGGCTAGCTGATCGAGCAAAATGCAACGCGTGGTGACAGGCACCGCATCCTAAAAATATACAGATGTTTGTTTTCACTATATGGTCTTGCTGTAATTTGGAGAGAGAAGCTTTGAAACGGGACGGGAATTTACGTATGCAATCGGTCCGAGAAGTTAACGGAAAATCTGAGTCCTATTTACAAATTTGGACATTTTAATTGGAAGTTCATCCATAGAACAGGTTCGTGTTTCTTGGTGTAAATTACTTTTACAAAGCATAGACCAAAAATTGAGTTTGCTCTGTAACTTTCATCATCAATGAGCTTTATCCTTCTACAATGAACAACATAATACAGGCATCCAAAAAGCAAAGATGTGGAAGATAGACGTCAAAACGCTGCACTCAGTCCACACGTTGTTGTGCACTAACTTTTATCAAAAGCATACAAATGTTACGTTCATTTAGGGATTAATTCATTTAAAATGTTCGTCGAATTTATTACTGTTACTTTTTCTATTCATAAGTAGACAAAATATACGAAGAAATACTCTGCTAAAATCTTAGTACTTGTACTGTCGTTCTTATATAACACCACCACAAGTTCAATCATTGGATTAGGCATCCATCCTGGAGTAACATCTTGGTTTACAATTATGAGACTTCCAGCAGTTGTAAATGTGTAAATGTTGGTTCTTTTGAAAGATTTGTTTTGTTTTAACTGGTAGTCAGTGAGAACAATTGGTTACTTCATATAGTACTTATTTTTGTCTGTGGTAAGCTGGTTGTATGTTCCCATAAAATCTCCATTATTTCACTCATTGAAATGCCTTCCAGCCAGTCAATAGTAACGCTTGCATCTTGAGACTTAAAAAAATAACCAAACTGAAAATACTTCACTTACTGAACACCACACGTAACTCGGATGACAATCAGGATTCGCACAACGTGTGTTCTTACGATGTTCCATTTTGTTTTTAGCTAAAATTATAAAACATTAGAACAAATATATGTGTTACAAATCAATCTCACCACTTCTAACGCTTTTATTCACAGTGCCATCACTATTTTCTGAGGAGAAATAATCAATGGGGAGGGGTATATTGGAGCAGTTCAAGGTTAACTGCTTCTCGATTGCGCCACACCCACCACCCAGCCGACATCACAGATGATTCATAGTTCGGAATCGGCAACGGTGGACAGCATTATTACTGAATGGCTCTTCAACCCACTGAATCTGGTTTAAATTTGTTTATTCTTTGTGCGTTTCAACATTGCAATCTGTAAATAGGAACATAATGTTGTGACAAAAGATTGGATTATCTGAATAGCAATAATGTTGCAAACAGATACGTGACAAAAGTATTTTGGGGAGTTTGGTAAAAAATCCAAAGCACGTGTTTCAACATTGTTATCACGGAGCTTATTTCGAATACAATCCTCACTGCTGAAAACTCACCTCCTACTCTTACCCGAATTCTGTTTCTCTCATATCTGGAGTGGACAAACAGAGACTGACATTATTCACAGAGCAAAACGGACATTCGTAAGTGATTTACGATTGAAAAGGAAAAAAATAAAAGTGGTGGATAGCATTTCTGTTGATGAACAACGAGACAAAGGTACGATCTCAGGAAGATTGAACCGCACTGTGGTTGGTTCAGAATAAAATGCATTCGAGGGCAAGTTTCCTTTTGACTGTTATTTCATAAAATTTACCAAAGCCATTTTTGATTCTCACCTCCAGGTTCCAGTTCTGAAGGTCCATCGGTGGCCAGCACCGAACAACGGCACATTGTGATCAAGTTTTCTTGCTCCTACTAGTGCTTGCGAACGAGTCAAATTTAAGATTTGAAATTCGTTCAGCCGTCAACCAATAACTATCAAACGTGAACCCGACCAGGCTCTTATTGAAACGTGAATGATGGTTTAACAAGCGGGTTGATCAATCCCATCAACGGCAGGATACCCGTTGCTCAATTTTTTCCCTTGATTCGTGTTTGTGTCAAACCTTTTATATAGTGACTCACAACAGTTACTTTGTCCAACTCAGCGCTGGGCTTTTATTTCCTGATTTCGAACACAGGTGATTTAATAGATAGCATGTTTCATCTGACGACCACTTAACGTGATTTTAAATCAAACTAAAATAAAATACTGCATCAAATGATACGAATGAAAGAGAAGAGAAGCAATGACGACTACCACTACAGCGAACCGTCACTAGAGAAGAATAAACTAGATAATCTTAGTTTCAAATCAAAAAGTAGAGTGAAGAAGAGGCTCGTTTTCAGTGATTCGTATTCATGATAATACATCACAACATATGTATATATATGGCTACTTTTGAGTAAAATTGTTTTCCACTTTGTTTTTTTTTTGTTTGAACAGTAGTGCTCTGTGGGACTATTTCAACAGACATGTTTCTCCTTCCAGTAAATCAAAAAGATGAAAAATGGCTAGAATTACTGACCACTTGGCTCACCGAGACCAATAAAAATAATCTGCGATTGTTGGTCATTGTTCAGACCGAACTATTTTCACTTCACTTTCAACCACTTGGATTGAACGGATGACGCTGATTTCGGCGAATGAATATGGAACATCGAGAACTGAGGTAAATCCCACGTGTATTCAACCTACCTAGTACTGTCTTCCACGAGTGACCTATGTGCTACTATTGTAGGTTCATCTTCGCGTGTGTGTGTGTGCGTGTGTGTTCGT